AGATGCTGATAATGATTTTGATTAGGAGGATGATGATAATGATGATGATGATGCTGATGAAGCTGATGAGGATACTGATAATGATGAGGATGCTGATGATTATGAGGATGCTGATAATGATGATGATGATGCTGATGAGGATACTGATGATGAGGATGCTGATAATGATGATGATGATGCTGATGATGCAGATGAGGATACTGATAATGATGAGGATGCTGATGATGCTGATGATTATGAGGATGCTGATGATAAGGATGCTGATAATGATGATGATGATGATGCTGATGAGGATACTGATAATGATGAGGATGCTGATGATTATGAGGATGCTGATAATGATGATGATGATGCTGATGAGGATACTGATGATGAGGATGCTGATAATGATGATGATGATGCTGATGATGCAGATGAGGATACTGATAATGATGAGGATGCTGATGATGATGAGGATGCTGATGATTATGAGGATGCTGATGATAAGGATGCTGATAATGATGATGATGATGATGCTGATGAGGATACTGATAATGATGAGGATGCTGATGATGATGAGGATGCTGATGATTATGAGGATGCTGATGATAAGGATGCTGATGATGATGATGATGATGCTGATGAGGATACTGATAATGATGAGGATGCTGATGATGATGATGAGGATACTGATAATGATGAGGATGCTGATGAGGATGCTGATGATTATGAGGATGCTGATTATGATGATGATGAGGATTAGGATACTGATAATGATGAGGATGCTGATAATTATGAGGATGCTGATAATGATGAGGATGCTGATAATGCTGATGATGCTGATGAGGATACTGATAATGATGAGGATGCTGATAATTATGAGGATGCTGATAATGCTGATGATGATGATGAGGATACTGATGATGATGCTGCTGCTGATTAGGATACTGATAATGATGAGGATGCTGATGATTATGAGGATGCTGATAATGATAAGGATGCTGATGATGATTATGATGCTGATGATGCAGATGAGGATACTGATAATGATGAGGATACTGATGATTATGAGGATGCTGATAATGATAAGGATGCTGATAATGATGATGATGATGCTGATGATGCTGATGAGGATACTGGTAATGATGAGAATGCTGATAATTATGAGGATACTGATAATGATGAGCATGCTGATGATTATGAGGATGCTGATAATGATGAGGATGCTGATAATGATGAGGATACTGATAATGATGAGGATGCTGATGATTATGAGGATGCTGATAATGATGAGGATACTGATAATGATGAGCATGCTGATGATTATGAGGATGCTGATAATGATGAGGATGCTGATAATTATGAGGATGCTGATAATGATGAGGATGCTGATGATTATGAAGATGCTGATAATGATGATGATGATGATGCTGATGAGGATACTGATAATGATGAGGATGCTGATGATGATGAGGAGGATGCTGATGATGATGAGGATGCTGATGATGATGAGGATGCTGATGATTATGAGGATGCTGATTCTGAAAGAGGTGATGATGATGCTGATAATGTGGATCCTAAAGATAAAGATGAGGATGTTGTTGATGACAATACTGATGACAAAGATGATGCTGATGCTGATGATGATTTGTTTTTTTTTCAATTAAATGTGCTGTAAAGGGAATATAAATGAAAGACTTTAATTTAAAAAAGAGACTTTAAAATGATATCTTCATATCGAATTTTAAATTAAAACATTTTTTTTTATTTATAGTTATGATTCTTTTATAGACGAGCCATTACCATCCACCCTGTATTTTACCCACATCAATCTCTCTGTTTCAGGATCACTCAAACATGGTCTGGTTGGGGTTTGTAGTTGGTGCTGTTGGACCCTCAGAAATGTCCAAAGTTTTCTCATCTTGCTTGTTTTGTTGGTTTTCCTGTTCATGAATGTGTAAAGATGCTGATTATGGATGTAATGATGCTATAGATACAATTCTTGCATCCTATAAGTTTAGTATTCTGGAGATTTTATACTGAGAGTCGGTCCAGCTGTTTTGTCCATCAACAACAACAACAAAAATGATAAAAAATTGGGTCTGGAGAGATCAATTTTGAAAGCGGCCTGAGCTGAAACTGAGAATTGGTGTTCTATCAGATGACCAAACCCATAGTCAATACACATACACAAAAAGTCAGATTTATGTTTATCCATTTAGTCATGTACAAGAAAAAGAAACAAGTTAAGGTAAAATTATCGCATGCTAAGTAATTGAATATTTTTTTGTAAATGACTAATGCCAATTGAGGTTATTTAAAAAAAAAATAAATCTAAAGGGATAAACTAAAGTGTTAGTATTGACTATGGGTATGCTGGTCTGACGGGGGATGCTCATCTGACAGAACACCAGTGCAACTATGTAAAACATATTTATTTCAAACATAAATGTTGAAATAATCACATTAAAAGCAGTCAGAGACCATTTACCCATCGAGTGGCTGCTGGTCTGTGAACAGGGACGTGGTTAAAAAGGTTAGATATTCACTATTTTAGGCTCAGAGTAGAGAAAAGTTTCAAATCAGGCTCTGTTGACAAAATGAAACACATAAATCCCTCAGATGTTTCTTCTGGTTTTATCAAACACTTCCTAGTTTTTTTGGATATTAATTTCCCAAAATCACAACAAAAAACATTCATGTTTAACAGACACACAAGCAACCGTTATTATGAAACAAACATTCATTTATAACTTAAAATATTTTCCCCATGACCAGTTAATCTTGTAAACAGTCTCAGACTGAAAAGATTCATTTCACAGCCAAGAAAACCTTGTTTATTTCAAACCTTTTCAAAGTCCAGGTTGTCTTCGACCTGATTTATAGAATCTGTTTACGTCTGTCTACGAGTCCCTGATTATTATGCAGCTTAAAGTTTAATTGATGTAAAATGGCTTATGAATTTTTAAATTCATTCAAAGAGTCTGATGAAGCAGAGGCTGTAAAGTAGGACACATCGGCTCCCTTCAGAGCTGCATCAACTACAGCCTCAGTTCCTGCTGTCAAGCTGAGCTGCAGAGGTTTGGCTCACAGGCGCCTCATATAAACTTCACATCCAAATTTCGTTTAACACAGCGACACTAATATCAGCCATTTACTTGTTCAAGATGGAATCTGGACACATTTGGAAAATGTTGACTTTGAAAACCAGTTTGAATTGTAAAAGTGTATCAAATGACACCTTCATTTCTTCTTCATCGATGTTCATCAAAGCGATGAGATTCAATTTTAATTCAACTCAGTTTATTTCTATAGTGCCAATTCACAACACATGTCATCACAAGGCTCTTTACAGTTCACTAGATCATCCAGTCTAATTGATTTAAAGTTTTCTATCTATCAGTTGATTGCATTGACTCTTTGACCCGAAGGCAATCCTTCACACTAAGCATGCTTATAGCGACAGTGGGGAGGAAAAACTCTCTTTTAACAGGAAGAAACCTCCTGCAGAACCAGGCTCAAAATGGTTAGCACCAAATCTGGTGACTTTTTTCCTGTTACTGGAGACTCGGGCAACACATATAAAAGCAGCGAACTCTGCTCTCCAAAGCAGAATTTTAATATAATTCCCGTCATCTAATATAATATTTAGTATGTCTCAGGCCTAATCAGACAGCAGCAAACCATTTGAAAACAAACGATGTGAAGAGCAGTGTTGCTAACCTAATGCTTTTGTCGCTATATTTAGCTACCTGTCAGACCCCTCTAGCACTTTTATTTCAAAAAAGCACCTGGTGCCAAATGTAGCGCCTTTTTTCTGCTACTGGAGACTTTGGAGACAACATCTAAAAGCAGCGAACTCTGCTCTCCAGAGCGAGTAGATTGGTAACCCCGCCTCCTGCTCTCCTCTATCTTGTCTGCTGTCATGATTCATGCAGCTATTATTTCATCCAAATGAAAAATGGAGAACAGATAAGCAGATCATGGCTTGTCTACAGTGAAAAGAAGGACTGGGTTATTTACTTTGGCCTTTTTTGAAACACAGGAAGATGCAATCAGCTAAGTGAGCTTAGTGCTTGGAAAAAATCTTTAATTCCTTTAGAGACAGCATGAAAAGTCAGCTGAGTACAAAACATAGAGAGGAAAACAACAAGAAAAGGGAAAGGAAGAGAGGGACAAAACCTAGAACAAATAATGGATGTCTATTCTATTAACATTTCTCTATCTGTTCAATGGTTCTGTTTTATGTGTTGTCTCCTCAGTTTATAGGGCCCCCTGCCTGTCTTTGCCTAGGACCCAAAATTTCCTAAATCTGCCCTTGTCTGGTCCATATGTCTGTTATGCACCAGTTACACTCATGGATTTTTTTCCCAGTTTAGCACACCTTATCCAGATTTGTTAAATACCAGGTTCCTTAAAAGGACCCACATCTCAGCAGTGATGATGACTCACTAACAGTTATTTGTCACAGTTGCTGCTGCTCTGTTCGCCTTGTTTCCATACAGTAGTAGCCATTCAAACCTTCCCCACTTTCCTTGATAGGCCCTTTGCTGGTGCCCTTCAATTGCTTTTTAAACATCAATCTCTGTACTAAAATATTGTTTCTGTTACGATTTGTGGATAGTAAGATCCAAAGAGAAGAATCAACTCCTGGTCAGACCCTGTAATTCAGTGAAAGGGTGGAGTCTGAGGCAACTAATGTTTCATTGGGGTGCCCAGATGAGGCCACTAACAATATTGTGGTGGCACACTTAAACATAAAGCAATTTTTGCTTGGATTGTTGGATTAATAATTGGTTCATTGTGTGATTGTCAATGTTACATCGCTGGCTGTGCATAATGGGATTAAATGTTAAACTGATGCTACTACACTTTACCCTGGCGAGGGCATTGCACAGGGTGACCGCAGCCACCCATGGCGACCCCCTGATGGCACCACTTGGTGGAGTCGGAGTAAAAATGTATGCAAGAGGGGCTGAGAATCAGTTTCAGGCTAATATATGAATCTCTGTTTCTTCCAGATGAGGGGCCGTACGGAAAAACCAAGGATTTCTCTGGACCAGAACACACCATGACGTTGAGAAGACACAGTATACCAGGTACATGGCATCTGGGCTCTGTAAACATCAACCACTAAATCCTGTCTGGTGATGTGGCAATAAGAATATTTGTCTTGTTGCCAAAAAGAGCCCAACAGATCTTGCTTTTACAATGGAGTTGCGCAGCTATCGCCATAGGGGTTGGGTTGTGATGATAGCAGGAAAGGATTGACTCAATAGACGGTATGGGGCATTGCAGGCTAACAAAAGAAGCCAAAAGACCCCCATTCCAAAGGGGTAGACCCGTTCAAATGTTTCAATTAGCATGTTTTCTAAGCAAAAACAAGCATTTGTTGGGCTACTGTATATAGAAACTCAATGCTATTTCTGATATTTGAATTGAAAAAGCTTAATTGATGGGAAGCAAAACGTCTTCAAACTGGGAAACAAAATCCAGTGGATTGTTGTTGTTTTTTTACTTTTTTGGAATGACCATGACATTGATGACTGAGAATCTTCACCAGTATCATATTGCTTTAGGTCAAGGGTCAGCAAAGTTGGGGGCCGGGCCCCACTGAGGGTCCAGAAACACTAAGTGGGGGGTTGTGTATGATCATAGATAAAAGTTAGATATAATAATTTAATTTATATTAATACAGATATGCCCTGGTGACCTGGCCAGGGTCTACGCAATAAAGGAATAAAGCCAAAGAAAATCGATGGATAACGCAGATATAAATATACTGTTAAATTATTGGATGTACAGAAAAATGTACCGTTAAATAAAATGATAATTACATATTTCTCCCTATATTACTATCTGATTAAAGGGTGATAATAATGATGTATATATCTTCACTGTTTGTTTTGGTTAGCATAGGACAGAGAACAAATAGTTAGTCTCACTTTACTTGAGAAGGTAATCACCATATCCATAGGAACAAGCCATTATTTCATCAGGTAATATGGAGCAAGTTTATAATTAGCTGCCCGTTGGTTGCTTGGCAACAGCAATACTCCTGTGACCCTTTTTGGGAACAGTGACCTTACAATTTTGGTATATTTATTACTCTAAATGGGTATCTCTCTGTCAGCTATAGGCTTGTTTTAGAGTCTCTATACTCCAGTTAACAATGAATCCATTACTTAATTAGTTGACGATTATTTCAATAATCGATTAATCACAATTAATCAATTAATTGCTTCATCCATAAATGTAAGTAATATATGAGCTACGCTAGGTCCAGTAGCACCAGCGCCTTCCCACTAAAACAGCAATGTGTAACATTAAACCTTTACAGTTTGAACCTGAGTGTTTGATGAGAGTGAAGAAATAACAAAAGGTGATGAAGATGAGGACGACAAAATGGATGAAGAGGCTGCTGCTATGAGATGCTAACCCAGATGGAAAGATGTGCTACAGAGAGTTTGTACCTGAATCTATCGAACAGCAAAAATATCTGATGGAAACGGCCGAGTATGGAAGTAAGCTTGGTCTTGGTTTAACCTTGGATCCAGTTTGTGGGGGTTTAATCCAGAGAAGAGGGAACTCGTTGGAGAGCGGACAGGCAGACATACGTTGGACCCAGAGGAGTAAAGGAGCGGACTGTCCCTTGGTTTTCCAGTGGTGGACTTGAACGGATCATGTGGGGGTTTTCCCCTTGCTCAGTGAGACTCAGTAAATCCTTCCAGGGGTAGAAGGTCCAGGCTTATCCAGGAACACAGGGAGTTTTCCTGCCGAAGAACAGAGACAAAAAAGAAGTTCAGACTCAGAGAAATAATGCTAATCTTAGACTCTGCTAATCTCAGTTGGGCTAGAGTACCCAATACTGGCAAGCGATCTGGCATCGAAGTGGTGACAGCCCGCTGCTCAAGTACTCCTCTGGTAATGACCCAACGGGCCGCAGGTGTGCAGGGAGGCCCAACGGGGACAGGGCACCGCAAAAAACAACCCACACAAACTGGAATTCTAACACATATTATGCGTTTTTTCTCTGACCAGAAATTTAATGGCAAATCCTCCCTCTTCAAATTTGCAATCCAACAACAAACCTGTCCGTGGAGGATCATGAATCGGAAAGGTGAAATAACTAATGTTTTTTCACTTTTATCCGATGTATTCCAGCATCCAGCTGCCATGCACGTGGGCATTGTAAGTTTAACTTTAGCTCTGGTGAATTTCAATGCTGAAGTCCTCTGGAAATCTGCAATAATTGTTGTTGATTGCAGATGTGTCTAATAGTTCCCATTGATTTAGCTTGTATAGCGGGAGAATGGCGCTAGGCTTACCGAACCGTGAGGTCACTGCTGGAAGATGGCAGGAGTGAGGTGGTACTATATTCGGGCAAAAATGGCCGCTCCCGGACTCAATGATCAGCGAAAATTATTGTTTTTGTTTTTTTACTGATTAACACTAAATTCATTAAATCAGTGCGAACTTATTAGTTTTAGGTATAAATAATGATCCATTGATTATTCCTTGCTGACCGGTCTTTTCCTTAAAACTATGGCAGAGTGATCTGTATCAACAATTTTTGACCTAAGTTTCTAAATGGTGAGACAACTGTAGTTAAAAGTTTCAATAATGCAGCGAAACAATTATGGTTCTGAGCTAACTGTAACAAAAACCCCTCTTTATATTGTGGGATTTACTGTACATTAAAGCTTTGGTAATGTCGTCTTAGAGAACAACACCAATTCCCGAGAGATTTGATCTGATGCAGCTAATCAAAACTGTTCAAAAAGTCCGGGAATAGATGTCACATTGGAGATTACAGTGGTTTAAAAACAGGTTATACTGAGTTCATATTGTTTACAGGGTAGTCTAATGAAGTATGCAGGGAATATGGCCCTGAGCGCTACATGGTTCGCTCTGTGTGGGAGTAGTGGGATGGTGAATAGTTTCTTTGTTTTCATTGAGGATTAATTAGTTGGGTTCAGTAAAAAGTTTTTCCTAAAATCTCCATCTCAAAGATCTGTCAGTGTGCCTTCAAACAGTCTAAGTTACTGAGCTACTTTTTCTCTTCTATCAACAGATATAAATAAAGAAACGCATCCCAAGCTTAGTTCATGTGGACCAAACTGGATTCATTCAAAATCTATTTGACAACATAATGCCTCCAGTAGAGCAAATGGTCCTCCAGCAATTCCTGTATCACTAGATATAGAAAAGACCTTTGACCATGTAGAGTGGCATTACCTTTAAGAGGTATAACATTAAATTAAAGTTACATTGAAAATGTAAATAATACTCTTCAGTGCATCTTGATAGCAGTTTTAAAGCTTGCATACATTTTTTGGGGGGGCCCCGATATTAATGTCTTTCATGAGGCCCCAAATTCCTGGCAGCGCCCCTGAATCCGAAGGCCTAAACTTTACTTCACCTGTTAAATATCTACTTAAATTCTTCGTCTTATTTTGTTCAGATTTGAAAAACGTTTTACCTTTTGTTTAGACTTTTGTTTTTTAAGCATTTGATCCTACCGAAATCCTAAGATCATTTATTGAACAACAATAAGTTAGTGTACCACAGAAGACCACAGATCAGTAAACAGTTTCCAGTTTTATCAGTCAGTTCTGTCTGCTTTTATTTAAAAGAGAAAGAGTAAAGTCAGAATCCAATAACTTTTGTTGTTGTGTATTTGGTGTTGTCTTTCTCTTGCCCTCATTTTTCTGTCGTGTGTCTGCGTGGCTGCACGCCTCTTTTGGTTAGAAGCTCTGCGGGGGGTGACCATGGTGGAGCTGGTGAAAAAAGAAGGTAGTACGCTTGGACTCACCATCTCCGGAGGAACTGACAAGGATGGGAAACCCCGGGTATCAAACCTTCGGCCAGGGGGGCTGGCAGCCAGGTGGGTGTTGTCATATTTCGGGATCAGCAGTCTTACTAGAACCATGCACCTTTATAGACGGAGGATGTGCAAAAACTTACCACACACAACGCTAATCAGTGATCGCCAGCATTTTATGCCATTGGCCGGGGGGTTTTACTTTTGTTTTATAGCATTTCAACATATATTGCAAAGATATATATCACATAAAAAAATTCAATTTATCCCCATATTTTCTTTGTCATTATTTTTAAATAATTTAGATTTTTTATTAAATCAAACCACATGTCTTACAACTTCATCTTTCTTTCAAGGCCAGCAAAACATCACCTAATTTCAAAATGGCAGAACCAAAACGTTTTGCACGTCTTAAGTTTGCATGTGCAAATCTTTTTCATTCATCTGCAACACACCCACTGGGTTTGATTCTTTTGGTCCACTCATTTTAGCGCTTTTTATTCGGATTCTTTGAAGATCAGTCTCTCAAAGAGAAATACAGTTGTGGAAGCATGTTTTTCCTCGGCCTTGTTGGGGTGAAAGGAAGGTTAGTAGTGATAAAAGATAAATGTTCAAAGTTTCCTCATTTTTCTTCATGCGGTGAACAGAAGACACCTGTTCTGAAATCTTTGACCAGTGTAAGACATATTAACCTATTAAACTTGATGAACTGAAGTTGTTTTCCTCCAAATGTTCGTGTGAGAAAGTTCTTTATGCAGGGGTGGGATGGTCCCAAGGGAAAGTGCGTTGGGATCTGTACAGTATAAATGTGTGTGCTGGGTTTGCCCCAGTCAGAGCTTTTCTTTCCATCTAAGGATGTAAAATGAATTAGAACTTTCTCTTGCAAGAGTCTCAGGTTCTCCAGAACTTCACACAGTCAATAACTCAAAGCATCGGAAGATGCAGTTCAAGCTGAGCAGATTAACTTCAAAACCAAGCAATGGCAGTTTAAGAGAAAGCCTAAAGATCAGCTTAACTTTTTGATGCAAGTAATTCAGTTTAAGCCGCTGATTAACAGAGTGGATTTTAACATCAAGGATCAACATTTGTCGGTACATGGTTTGATGCATGTGTTTTTTTTCTTTCTACAGGAGTGACCAGCTTAATGTCGGGGATTACATCAAGTCTGTGAACGGCATCAATCTGACAAAGCTGAGGCATGAAGAAATCATTAGTTTATTAAAGAATGTAGGAGAAAGGGTCCTGTTAGAGGTGGAATATGAGCTGCCCCCTACAGGTAAACAGCAGTACTGGAAGGTTACACTAAATATGTGGTATTTAATTATGTAGCATCATAAAAGCTAGGAGGTAGAGAATAATCTAATCCAAAGTATGTTTCTTTATTCCTATTTTTCTACCTAATTGTGAATCAAGGCACAAGAAGGAGTGTTTCCTCCTAAAACCAGGACTCAAACGCAGATTACACCCTTCTTGCCACAATTAAACCCAAAAGTATTCAAATCCCTGGAAGATATAAAATGTGTTATATTTACTATTCATCTAAATAAAAAAGTACCAAAGATGCAAATAAGATAAAAAAAAAAAAAATTAACACAAATATTGTGGCATTCGCTTTATGTTTGAATTAAAAGGCATGGCTGATATGGTTTATGACTTTAGCAAAAACGAAAGGTTTTAATCTTCACCGCTCTAAATGCTTGACGCTGTTCTAAAGCAACGCAGCCGTTTCCTTTAAGTAAACAGGGGATAAAATGCAGCTCCCTACAGTTGGTTTGTCACAAGTTCTGGATTAAATAAAAATGCTCTTTGAGGACTTTTTGGCGGAGTTGTCAGATCAGCATACCCCGTCAGACCAGCATACCTATAGTCAATACACATGCGCAAGAAGTCAGATTTACGTTTATCCCTTTAGTTTTGTATGAAAAATAAACTTTAACTTCAACTGGTGTGTATCTATTTAGTCATGTACAAAAAAGAAACACCAAAAAGTAATTAAATTGTTTTTTTGTACATTACTAAAGGGTTACACGCCCGTCGAGGTTGTTTGAGGTGTATTGTTCATACAAAACCAAAAGGAATAAACTAAAGGGATAAATGGGTTTTGACTATGGGTATGCTGGTCTAACGGGGTATGTTCATCTGACAGAACAGTAGCTCACAGCTAAAAGGCTGGTTATGCTAGATGCACGTCTGTTCAGTGTGGGAGCAGTCGCAGCCTTTGCTGCTTTGTGAAATTGTGTTTTTTGCTGGAAAGACCGTAAGATTAGAACACCACACTACGTGTAGAAAAAATAAGTTTAAGTTGCTCAGTGAAGGTAATTTGGGAAGTTAAACATGATTTAAACTTTGGAAGATGTTGAAATATGTGTTTGCTTGCACTTCTAAAACAATCAAGTGATGACCTACAAAGTTGTCCTGATGAGGTACACCATGTTGGTGGCAACATTGAAAGGCAGACATTCCTGAATCTCAGGAGGAAACCACTCATTGCAGTGACCCACACAGAGTCCATCTGGCCTCTAAGAACCAAAGAAACCCAAAAACAGCCCCACCCCCCAGCATGGTGGTGGAAAAGTAATGCTCTGGGCTTGTTTTTAACCAGAGGGACGGGAAACATGTGAAGGCAGTCCATAACTGACGTGAAACGATCAGGAGCACATGGAATCTGGGCATCCAGACCTTCTAAGACAGACATTTAGCTTAAAAAAAAAAAGGAGAAAAGTCGTTCAGACGTTATGAGAAGCATTTGGTGGCCTTTCCAGCTCCATAATTTAGAAGCGTATGAATAGTTTTGAACATGCCAATGTTTTAGTTTATCTGTAAGTAAAAAGAGATAATCAAGTTTCTTTCTTTGTGATGTCCTTCGTATGTTTAGCCTGATCTCATATCTCTGCTTTATTTTGAATTGTAATGAGAATAACCTTATACTTTAAGACAGTTAATTCATGTGATAATGAAAATAAATCCTAACTAATAAATCATTCAGTTTGGTTAAATCTCTATCAAAGAATAAATCCCTATTATTATGACAACTGCAACATTTGATTCAGCAGAGTTCTTCATGATCGATAAATCAGTTCAGTTTCATTTCAGTTTATTTATAGAGCGCACGTTCACAACACATGTCATCTCAAGATACTTTACAGAGACAATTCAACCAGATCATACAGTCAACTTGATTAAAAGTTTTATATCTAAGGAAAACCAGTTGATTGCATCGACTCATTGACTCTTCAGCAATCCCTCACACTAAGCATGCTTGTAGTGACAGTGGAGAGGAAAAACTCCCTTTTAAAAGGAAGAAACCTCCAGCAGAACCAGGCTCAGTGTGAGCGACCATCTGCTGAGGCCGACTGGGGTTCAAGGAGACAGAAGCAGAGATACAGAAAGCAGCTGTAAAAGGCGGCCCCATCCAGGAAACACTAAACCAGGCAGACGAGCTCTGAGCTAGTTGGATGAAGAGAGCACATCCAGCCAGTCACAGTCAGAGAAACAGGACTACACTGAAAAACAGACCAAGCTCAAACATCTATAAACAAGGGTGTTGATGGCAGCAGCACAGCTGATATTTCTCTCCAGGATGGAGTCAGAGCCAAACAGGAACAGACCAGATGAAGCTACTATGAGAAAAAGCAGAGAGAGAAGAACGTTAGAGATTGAACTAACAGATTCTGCAGAGTATAAAAGCATAAGTTACGGATGACAGGAAATGCCTTCATTTTATTTTACTGTACAGCTATATGTGTGGTACGCTAACATGTATTTTTATCTTTGAACTATTGTTTGATCTTTAAACATGTAAGCTAAGCATTATCAATCGTGTCTATATTTTTTTCTTTCTCTCGTAGCACCAGACAGCACCTCAGGGGTTATATCGAAGACAATCGACATCTGTTTGCACAAAGAGGGAAGCAGCTTTGGTTTCGTCATGAGGGGTAAATATCAGTAATAACAGAAAATTTAGTAAAGGTAAAAAAAAATAAAAATGATGAGCAGGTCAAGAAGGCTTCTACCCATCAAGGTATTTTGGTGACGTCCATATGGAATTGGCTTCCAGGACTGCTTTTAAGGTCTCACCTGTCATCTTTACCTCATGCAAATGTGGTGGTAGTGTTTATATTTTCAGACTATGACTTTAGGAAGGCAGTGATGAGGTTGACACAGCGTTGGGAAGAGGCCACCATGAGAATCAGCTAAAGCCATGGAGCTTGATTAGAAAAGGTGGATCACTTGCTGCAGGGTTGTTCTCTGCCTCAAAGTTCAAGTATTATGTGTTCACAGTTAGGGCTGAAGATTCCCAGGAGATATCTGGACAAATTAGTCCTTCGGCTGCAGCAATCATGTGCCTGTTTGATCCAATCAATTCGGTTTAATTATATAATTCACAACTAGGGCTGGGTATTGTTCAAAAATTTTCGGTACCGGTACCAATACCGATACCTTCACTTCGATACCGGTTCCTGAACGATACTTTTTTCGATACCAGTTTTATAATATCAATTCGAAGAAAAAGAAAATTACTCAACATAAAAAAGTACAAATCTTGAGTTTTATTTTAAGCTCTGATTTTTCCATTTACATTTTTCCTCTTACATAAAAAAAAAAAAAATCAGTGTCTAATATTCACTGTAACATTGTGAGGACCTTTTTACTTAGCAGTTTTACTTTAGAAAAATTACCATGTCTGACAAACAAGCCCGTTGAATGGGATCCTATTGACAGCGCACCGCTGGTATGGGGGGGTCTGAGCGGCTCCGACAGAAAGAATATTGGAAGGCAGGATGAACTGACTGCACTGATTAAGTTTTCAGGTGGATTTTCCCACTTACAAACATAATAAAACTACTTTATTCCCACTGATCACAGCAAATATAGCTGCAAGGCAAATAAAGGATAGAGTAGCTCCGCCCAACGCGCATCAGAGCCACTTTTGCACCGCGCAGCCGGAGCAGCAAAGCTTCTTCAGCCGCGCGTCAGAAGCTGGTACAAGCAGCAAAAAAGGAAGCAGCAGACGTGATTTTGCTTCTCCTGCTGCGTCCAGTTTGAAATTGCAGCATTATTACATTATTACAGCATTACTCCGCTCTGGCTTTGCTCTGCCCACGGGCTGCTGAGAGGAGGATGGTCGCGCTGGTTGCGGTCCGCTCTTCTTGCAGTCAAACACCGAGCAACTTTCTGCTCTTAAATTGCTTACGTCTACTCTACACTATTAGCATCAGTCTTAATAAAGTGAAGCTGCACTTTTGACCTGGGGGGCATTTTAAAGGAGTTCCGCAACGCTCACAACCAGTTCACAACAGATACACATAAACCCTGGCTGTAGGCGGGACCACCTGTGTATTTTTCCTGGATGACGCAATCACGTTAAGTGTTACAGCCAATCACCGAAACTTGGTACCGAAAGACGAGGCATGTTTCGATACTCGGTAGAACCGAAGCATTTCGGTCGGTACCATAAAAGACCCGAAGTTCGGTACCCAGCCCTATTCACAACACGTCATCTCAAGGCACTTTACAGTTCACCAGATCATCCTGTCAATTTGATTCAAAATGTTTTAAGGAAAACAAGTTGATTGCATCGACTCATCGACACGAAGGCAATCCCTCACACTAAGCATGCTTGTAGCGACAGTGGAAAGGAAAAACTCCCTTTTAACAGGAAGAAACCTCCAGCAGAACCAGGCTCAGTGTGAGCGGACATCTGCTGAGGCCGACTGGGGTTCAAGGAGACAGAAGCAGAGACACAAAAAGCAGCTGTAAAAGGCGCCCCCGTCCAGGAAACACACATCCAGGCAGACGAGCTCTGAGCCAGCTCCCATGTCAGAGGATGAAGAGAGCACATCCAGCCAGTCACAGTCAGAGAAACAAGACTACACTGAAAAACAGGCTGAGCACCAACGTCTATAAACAAAGGTGTTAATGAAAGCATCAGAGCTGATACGAAAAAATATGAACCGTGACATAAAGAATTAGATGATCCAAGTGGCTGGAATAACTCTAGTCTTTATCATAATTCAAAATTTAAGATCTCCTTTAAAATTATTGCATCATTCTGGTAACACATTTTAAAGACATTTTAATGGTTTCTGTGTTTGGGCTGAGATTATTTCCAAAACCAAACTATACTTATAGTGCCAATCATCTGGAGAATCTTTGAAAAAGTGGTATTGGAGCAGCTGATGGATCACTTAGAATCTAGCACAGTTTGAATAAATATCTTTAAATAAATATCGTTTTTTGGGTTTAGAAAAAAAAAAAATCCTTTACTTCACATGCTCCATGTTGAGTGTGGTATACACCATGTCACAAAACAGCAGAGTGATTACCTTTACATTATTTTCATGAGTTAATTCTTTATAAATAATTATTTTCATAGACTCTTTTTTTATTATTATACTTATTTATTAATTTTGTCAGAGTTATTGTGTGTGTATTTTATGAAATAGGATACAAACTATTTGGTCCACATATAGTTTTTACTAATTTGAGTCTTTGATTTTGTTTAAGTACTTTTGTCCTGCTTCATTTACAGGTGGTACACATGAAGACTGGCACAAGTCACGCCCCTTGGTGGTCACCTATGTCAGACCAGGCGGTCCTGCAGACAGGTATAGCTCAACACTTAGGTATTAAAAACCACATCAAATTTTTAGACTTAAATACATTTCAGTAAATCTCAATTACAAAACCAAGGAGCTTAAAGGACAGATTTTGAAGAGACAGCTGAATAAACCAAAAGTAAAATTTTCCCTCTGAGCACAAAGCTGCCGGCTTGCTTGGAATCACAATGAATCAGGGGATTTTTAAACCCGGGCATACACTGTGGGATATTTTCAATTGTTGCTAACACTGTATGACGAAACTGCAGTGTTTAAAAGTTCACTTCTCACAATGTGTGTTCTCACGCTGATGCGATCTGCCTGCTCACACTGTACGTCTAAAACCCCGCGGGAGTCAGCACCACAGTGTGATAGCGCTACTCGGACTCGTCTATCAGGAAGCCAAACAACTAGAAGAGGAATATGAAGCTCACTAGAGTAAAACACGCTGCCTTGGCAATTTGTGCAATTTTGTGCTGAAGCCCTAAAAAAAAAAGGAGACGACCTACACTATATTGCCAAAAGTATTTGCTCACCCATCCAAATTATTGGAATCAGGTGTTCCAATCACTTCCATGGCCACAGGTGTATAAATTCAAGCACCTAGGCATGCAGACTGTTTTTACAAACATTTGTGAAAGAATGGGTCGCTCTCAGGAGCTCAGTGAATTCCAGCGTGGAACTGTGATAGGATGCCACCTGTGCAACAAATCCAGTCGTGAAATTTCCTCGCTCCTAAATATTCCACAGTCAACTGTCAGCTGTATTATAAGAAAATGGAAGTGTTTGGGAACGACAGCAACTCAGCCACGAAGAGGTAGGCCACGTAAACTGACGGAGCGGGGTCAGCGGATGCTGACGCGCATAGTGCGAAGAGGTCGCCAACTTTCTGCAGAGTCAATCACTACAGACCTCCAAACTTCATGTGGCCTTCAGATTAGCTCAAGAACAGTGCGCAGAGAGCTTCATGGAATGGGTTTCCATGGTCGAGCAGCTGCATCCAAGCCATACATCACCAAGTGCAATGCAAAGCGTCGGATGCGGTGGTGTAAAGCACGCCGCCACTGGACTCTAGAGCAGTGGAGACGCGTTCTCTGGAGTGACGAATCGCGCTTCTCCATCTGGCAATCTGATGGACGGGTCTGGGTTTGGCGGTTGCCAGGAGAACGGTACTTGTCTGACTGCATTGTGCCAAGTGTAAAGTTTGGTGGAGGGGGGATTATGGTGTGAGGTTGTTTTTCAGGAGCTGGGCTTGGCCCCTTAGTTCCAGTGAAAGGAACTCTGAATGCTTCAGCATACCAAGACATTTTGGACAATTCCATGCTCCCAACTTTGTGGGAACAGTTTGGAGCTGGCCCCTTCCTCTTCCAACATGACTGTGCACCAGTGCACAAAGCAAGGTCCATAAAGACATGGATGACAGAGTCTGGTGTGGATGAACTTGACTGGCCTGCACAGAGTCCTGACCTCAACCCGATAGAACACCTTTGGGATGAATTAGAGCGGAGACTGAGAGCCAGGCCTTCTCGTCCAACATCAGTGTGCGACCTCACAAATGCGCTTCTGGAAGAATGGTCAAAAATTCCCATAAACACACTCCTAAACCTTGTGGACAGCCTTCCCAGAAGAGTTGAAGCTGTTCTAGCTGCAAAGGGTGGACCGACGTCATATTGAACCCTATGGATTAGGAACGGGATGTCACTTAAGCTCATATGTGAGTCAAGGCAGGTGAGCAAATACTTTTGGCAATATAGTGTATTTGGACAAAGACATGGCTGAGTAAATTTGGCTACTATGGTCTGTCAATTTTACAGAAAGAACTTCATTTCCCTCGCACCCCACCATGCTTCTGTGTTGTCCTTTGAGAAGAAGAAGAAGAAGAGTCCTCGTATGCGCACTGAGTAATTAACTCATGATCACCTTACTACGGCCGACTGAATTTCAGACATGTTGACTTTCTCCCGACCTTGCAATTCCTGAATGGGAACTAGTCGTGAGAATCTGATCACCTCTTGTTCCCCCTTTACACCACACGATGCACGCTCAGGCTTAAAGTCGGTCGGTTCCAAAAACTCTCACACGACTCGACACACAAGACTCACAAGACCGACCAAGCTGAAAAATGCTAACCTGTTAGTGAGCACAGCTAGCCATAGCGCTACCCAGCTCTCCTCCTTTATATCATGGTCTAACAGTTACTTTTCTCACCATAAACAGATTTGTTTCTGTTTTATTTTTTCGATCAGGTAAAACTTCATTGCTCATTAGACATGCTAACGCTACTGATGCTTCCGACTCGGCACACTGACGCTGCTTGATGTTATTATCGCATTCTGGGTAACCACAATGTTTATATCATGTTGTTCAGCCAATCAATTCAATTCAATTCAGTTTATTTCTATAGCGCCAATTCACAACACAAGTCATCTCAAGGCACTTTACAGTTCACCAGATCATCCAGTCAAATTGATTCAAAGTTTTCTATCTAAGGAAAACCAGTTGATTGCATCGACTCATTGACTCAAATACAATCACACTCACACTAATTATGCTTGTAGCGACAGTGGAGAGGAAAAACTCCCTTTTAACAGGACGAAACCTCCAGCAGAGCCAGTCACGGTCAGAGAAACAGGACAACACTGGAAAACAGGCCGATCTCCAGCATGTATAAGCAAGGTTGTCGATGGAAGCAGCACAGCTGAACAATCCTTTAGCGTAACATCATTGGCATGCGCAGATCTGACCAGCTGAGCAGATCTGGTACCCAAACCGCTCCTGGCAAAACTGAGGGCATCAAATAGTCCACCGCCTTATCTTGGCTGCCTTTGTTCACTGAAATAAAACAAATCAAAATTGTTTTCAAAGCACAGACGTATACATTTGATCTTCTTTAAGAAAAAAGTATTGTCAGACATCATGTGAAATTGTTGTCATGATTTAATTAAAAAAATCTGACCCACATACAGAAAACCAAACAGAGAGACCAGGGAAAAGTTTAACAGGTTTATTGTGAGTTGGTAGAGAGGAGTCCAGTGCTGCTCTGAACACTGGCGAACCGGGACTGAAAAGTGAAGGGGTAGATTCTGTGGTTAGTTCAGGCTCTGTGGAAAATTTGTGTTTCTGATTTGAAAAAGGGAATAAAGGCAACAGGACTCACGTTTCCAGAAAAAGGTGTCTCTTGTTGAATCCAGTCTGTGTGGGTTTTTCCAGTAATAGACTTTCTCGTTGGAGGGCGGACAGGGTTTAACCAGGTTGAGGTGTTTCCTTGAGGAACGGAGGAGCTGACTTCCACTTAGATTTCCTGCAGTACTTGAACGGTTTCTTGTGGTTTCTGCTCAGAGAGAATCCCAAACAATCCTGGAGGGAAAAGTTTATCCAAACCACCAGTTTGAATCATCAGCTCAGTTTGATGCTCAGAGAATCCTTCCAGGGGGAGAAGGTCCAAAACATCCAGTTTGCAGGATGACTTCCTGCCAAGAGGCAAACACAAAAACACAACAAGGTTAAGACTCATGTGACAAAAACTCAGTTTGACTCAGCAAAACTCAGCTTGGCTCGAGTACCCAAAACTGGCAAACACTCTGGCGTCGAGGTAGAGGCAGTCAGCAGCTTAAGAGTCCTCCGGTAATGAGGCAACCATCCGCAGTTGTGTGAGAACGCCAACGAGAACCAGGCGCCACCTGGTGGTGGAGGGAAAACAAACAAAGACACAACCCACCCAAACTGGATTCCTAACAATTGTTAGCAACCATGAGGTGGTCTATAGGGGAAACATTTGCTGATTTCAGAAACACCTCAGATAAATGTTTCCTTGTTTTTAGAAGTAAATGGGGAAAAGCTATGCCTCTGAAAATCAAATCAATCTTTGAAATGTGAAAGTGAACTCTCAGTGAGCTCCCAATTGGAGTCCCAGAGAGTTGCGGGAAAGCTCAGACCAACACTGTCTGAAATAACACTGCATAGCACAACTGCATAGAAATAACACTGTCCTTTCCTGTGACCATCATCCGCATGTACACAAGTATTTGTTGCTCAGAGCTGCGGCGCCATGATGATTCAGCTCCTTTCCTTTCATGCTGTCATCACGCATCTGCCTCAGCCTTCATGTTTAAGTAACACTCCATGACATTCTCAGATAAATGTCAGTGTTCAGCTGTAATGTAGTGATGATTCAAGCTCATGCATATCCTGTGTATGAATTTGGTCAAATTTGCAAACAGTAAATGGATGTTTTAAACATAAAGTATTTTCTTTCACATCTCTGCTCTTTCCATTTCCTTTTATTTATTTTTTTTTATAGCTGTTTCTTTTCAAAAAAGTTTTTTTGGCCCATTATGTACAGTAGTAGCCATTAAAAATGTCCCAACTTTCCTTGATAGGCCCTTGGCTGGTCCTTGGCTGGTCCCCTCAAAATTTCTTTTTAAACATTTGTACTAAAATATTCTGTCATGATTTTTGGACATTAAGATCTAAAGAGAAGCATAATCTCCTGGTGAGACCCTGTAATTCAGTGAAAGGGTGGAGTCAGAGTGAAAAAAAATATGCAAGAGGAGGTCACTCCAGTGGCTGGAAGTTGGAGGGGATTTCGTTGGGAGTTGGATGGAAATGAGCTGCCATTCGGCTGGTTTTTGACTCGGAAGGGCCATTTTGAATACTCTATCCAACTTTGGACAGGAAAGACGGCATTTATTGAAATGCAGGACATGTGGCAAGCGTGTGCCTGTAGCTGAGCGTGCATAGCATCACATTTCACATTATCATGTTTCACTCAAGTCCTCCAGATTAAAATAAATCAATACTTCATTGTTATAAAAAGGTTCCCCTATCCATTGTAGCATTCCCCAAAGTTAGAAAATTCTTCCCACATTAGGATAGTTATGATAAATCAGCTTTTCTTTACAATGGTATAATAGAACAAGGCTGGAAAAAATACTCAGCATCATAATCCGTTCGATGGTAGAATTTAAATATCCGACATGCTATTTTTATTCCACCTATTTGTCCAAAAC